AACAATATTTATTAATATCCACTCTTGTGATAAATATTTTGTAGATTCTAAACAAATTGATTTAGCTATACCAGATGGATTACTTGAATAAGTTAAATCCTGTCGTGTACTATGTATTAAATTATTTTTTTATTTTTATTTATCCGACTATATACTATAGTTTAAATGTCTTGAGTAATGATATTATATAATAACTTTAGATTTTTTTTTTTTCATTTTGAAATTCAGATGTCAAATATGCATACTAAATAAAAAATAATAATTTTTGACAAAAAAATAAATGTAATTTTTAATAATCATTGTTATCATACATACATAACTCCAGTACTGTTTGTCTCTTACCTTTTCAAATCAATGGTTTCATTTTTTTATAGTATTGACAAAATGAAGTGATGTATTATCAATATATTATATAATTTATATAATATATAAATAATTTATTAATATTAAAAACCTTGAAATTTAATACATGTATCTGAATAATTTAAATACAATAAAAATTATACCTAAATTATCAAGTAAAAAGCCAACAGACACAAACTACAGTATACTGATTGTGAGTTTTGTTGAATTGAACAATGTCAAACTTCTGGTCTTATTTGGAAACCCTGACATGGAATCTTTGATGTTTACCCCAATAGGAAGGGACACTATAAGTACATTAAAAAATACCACATTCAATATATAGCTAGCCACATTGATGCTTGAGAAAGAAGAAATTTTCAAAATTATATAACGAGGTTTGATCCAGTAGTGCTATGATTATGTTTGTAATCAGGAAGAATGTAAATCTTATTTTCATTCATATAATTGTTAATGATAGGAGTAAATGCAAGAGGAAGTAATTATTAAAAGTATTATTATCATCTGAATTCGTGTTACGTTCCGTATATTCATTTATTATTAATCAATCCGTAACACATTCATATTTATTTAACTTTATTTAGTAGAGATTAATGACGATTCTCCCGGAACAGGCGGATTCGCTCAAAACGTGCGGATTCGCACAGGTATAAAGTGAGCGAAAACGCACAATTGAGCGGATTCGCGCAATTCGGGCTAATATGTAAATGAACATGTATATAAAGAACTTGATTTCGACCTAATGTAAAAG